TTTCTAAAGCAGCTTCACAAATGCACATCAAGTAAGAAAAGAGCAAGACTGAGCAGGCAGAGGAGAAAAAAAAATAAAGGACTATGTGTTTGTGCAACAGGATTTTCCTTTAACAGCTACAACATAAATAAAACTCCAGGCTAAATGACAGAACAAATGGCTCCTGATAACACTTCTGGCAACGTGCTTTCCCACGTGCTCCAAAAAAAGATCAAGTTCATAAATGCTAAAGCAACAGACTTGACCACCTTCCTGCATCAGTCCTGAAACATGACTGAGGCTACTAAATGCTCAACGCTGAAATAATTACCTCAGTAAATAAATACTTGCTTTCATTTTGTGAGCTCTCAGACAAAAATTAGAAATAAGTTCTAAGGAAGTAAATTTTGTAAAGGTATCTTACGTCAGCCACAATAGATTAATTGTTTTGGTCCAGTTTCGCTTTGTACTTCCACTCAAACAAGCTCTGCGAAATGCTTCCCTGGCTAGGAAGACAACTGTTGAATACAGTAGAGTTAGCCTAAAGGCGGTGGGGGGGAGGGGAAAACAAAAAGAGAGAAAATTATTTCATTACATACTACTTCTGAAATCCTTCATGCAGTAGCATCACTGACAGTTTTTACACAGGACTGCCTGACAGACAAGTCTAACAGCTATGTGAAGAAAACGTGGTGATATGAGGGAAATTATCACCATCTCCTAAAAAAGAAGGGAAAGTAATTACACGTGATTATTCAAATGGCAAAAATACTTTAAGCATGCTATAAACCAAAAACGCAGTTGCAAAATTTATTGTATAGCAACAGCATGTAATATGCAATTGTGTCTAGCTTTTCCTCAGCAAGCTGATGGTTTAACATGAAAACAGGCCAGCAGTACCCCTGCTTCAGGCCAAAAAAGGAACTCGGAGACATTCAACAATCAAACACTGTAAAACAACAATAAATTAAACAGCGTTATGCAAAGCGTTATTAGCGACACACCCTACGGACCACAAACCCCGAGATCCCGCACCAAACGCAAAGGCTTTCAAAAAGCCCCGCCACGCCGGGAGCCCTGTTCCCAGGGAAGCCTCACGTATGTCAGGCGAACAGCGCGGTCGGGATGCGGGACACGGGCTTCCAGCCCGGCTGCGCTTCAGCCTCCTCCTCACCTCACGTTGACCACGCCGATCAGCTCTCTGGAGAGGTAGCGCAGAGTGAAGGCGTTCAGCCCGAAGGTGACCACCCGGAACAGCACCTGTGAAGGAAGCCGCACGGGAAACACCTGCGGGCCGAGCGGGGCTGAGGCGGCTCCCGCCAGGCACCGCGGAGGAGGAGGAGGTGGAGGAGGGAGGCGGCCCGGGGCGGCCCCGCACCTGCAGCAAAGCGCTGGAGGAGGCCAGCCGGGTGGTCTGGCCGAGCACGTCCTGCGAGGCCATCAGCTCCCGGCCCTGCCCCGCCGGCAGGAAATGGCGCCGCCGCCGTCGCGCCGCGATCCCGTCAGCGCGGCCGGGACCGCCCCGGCCTCCGGGCGGAAAGCGGGCGGGAGGCGGGAAACCCGCTGGGAATTCTGCTCATCCAGCTGTTCTTAATGTAACAGGACAGACGTGTCCTCTTCAGTAATGCTTTGGACATAAATGGTTAACTTCCAAAATAACTGGGCACTCCAGGCTGCTCAGATGCTAAAACTAACGTTCAGCACCAGCGTTCTGCTTCGCAAGCAGGTATTCCACTAAAACCACCCCCAAAAACTGCACACTGGCTTATGAGAAGAGATACCGTATTAAACAGCATTTTCTGACAAGCGCTATTTTCCAGAGATTTCTGAAAAATCTGCATGCACGTTTCACCAACTCCTTCTAAACTGAGGGCAAACCCAACAGTATTCCCTGACTTAAGGGGAAAGACAACCAGAACTGAACTAAAACACCCTCACCACAGGAAGAAAGCATCTTACTTCATTCTGTGTAAAAACAAAACAAACAAACAAAAAAAACCCCAAAACAAAACAACCCACCACCTTCAAATAGCAAAGATGCAATTTAATTGTAACAGACTTGAATTTAATAATACACTGACTCGAAGTCTTCCAAACAGATAAGACTTTAGACTCAGTGTAAATCAGCATAGTAGTTCCAGATTATTTCAGATTATTATTTAAGCAGCAATATATAAAAAGATTGTATCTTTCTATGTTACAGAACATTCCCTTCAAAAGCATGGCACTTCTGGCTCTGAAGTCACATTTTTCTTAGCAATACTACAGTTAACTAAAATTTCACATCCAACAGTAGCTGTTGGAAAGTGTTTTCAGAGCCGGGGCGGGGGGCTGCGCAGGGGAAGTATCCGAACCCTTCTTGATTTCAGCTTCTCCATGACAGAATACGAACAGCAACAGTTTAAATCAGGATCTTAACAGAAGCTAGATAACCAACCAAAATTCTTCAAGCTCATGCAAAGAAGCCATCTCTCCATCAATGTTATCTTCTGCATGAAAACCCCTCCTCCTCTGAAGTATTACACCCACCACTTTATTCTTTACATGTTGAGAGTGAAGTTTTTCAGATTTTTTCCTTTGGTCATTTTTCCTGATAACATTCTTTAAGTAATCTGGAAGTGATGTATAGATGTGAATGTATGTGGCAGAGGAAGATATCCTATGAATTCTTTTAAGTGTGATACTAATATTGGGAACACCTAACTTGTAAAAACCTAAAAGAGATATTATTATCCCATTGTAAAAATGGGGACAGAGAGAAGAAACTAATCTGTGTTGGGTAATTGCAGAGACAGGAAGAGACCTCAGAGATTTTGGGTTATAGAAGGGCGTTCTAGCTAGCAGGGAGAAAACATTGCCGCCTCCCCTCTCCTTTAGGCAGTTTTCCAGTTCTCAAATGGAAAAGGCAATTAAAAATGTTGTCCTAACTCAGGCGCTGGGCTCTGCTTAGCGGCAGTAATGGTGACAGCGGAAATCAAGAGTATGTTATGGCTTGTGCTGATGTCAATAGGGGTGGTTGAATTGTGGGGATTAAAACCCATCACAAATTACCAGGTATGTTGCACAGGGAAACAAAAATGCAGTTGAGGAGCATAAAGCATGCAGCATCTACCAACACTGCAGTAAGGATTCATGTTATTCTCTCTCTATATATACAAACATTTTCATGACAACATTTTCATGACACAAGTAGGGAACTTCAAGGAATAAAACAGGGGAAATTAGCGTGCTAACTGGAGGCAATATCACAACCTTTTCAGGCACCTGCCATGGACAACAGTAAGTGACAACTAGTGATGTTTTGTTGGACAGTTTGGCTTGTCACCTCATAAAGCTGAAACAGAAACAGCTGCAAAGCATAGGGAGGTGGAAAAAGAAGAGAAACAACTGTAACTTCAACTGTTTTTAATAGGAACCAGCTTTGCCACTTACACCCTTTCGGCATTAATGCATCTAAGCCACTAGATGGCAAACGGCCTCTGAGGCAGTCAGCAGCAAGACACACTGGTCAATCCTCAAAGCACATGCTTGAGGTTAGACTGAAAGTGAGTATTTTTACTCCACTAGCATCTTTCAGATTCTACTGCATGTTATGTCTGAACAATAGTTAGACTAGGCCAACTCATAATAGTAATGTGGCACAACACAGGTCAAACCAGATTAAAAGCAGTATTCCAAACTTACGAATTGACCTATCAGCTAACTTGATTTTATTCAAAACCGTGTGTGAGCAGGCTTAACAACTGAGTTGACAGAAAATGCTTATTCTTAGTAACATAATTTGAGAATAGGTATAACTTAAAGGAGGACCAAGTTACTGAACTGGCATACAGTGTTGAGAAAGCTTCACGAGAATATGCAGTCAAAACAATTGCTCTCCAATTCCCACAGCAGGCAATGCCCACCTACAGTGTGCCTGCATCCTCTCACCACAACATACACCCCTTTTGGTTGTCTTGAGGCAACTGTTTGTGGCAGCATACTCTAAAATAGTTCACCTTCCTTAACAGCAAAGGAGGCAAGATAAACTTAACCGCTACAAAGGTCTTTACTTCCAGAGTTAGGCCACATCTGGAACTAAACTGGGCTGGATGTTCCTCCAGCACAGAACACACACCCCTTGGCTCGGGACAACCCCTGTTATTATTAGAGGTACATGGAACCTCTGCAGCAGAGAAGAACCTCTTTGATCTACTCCAAAGTTGAACCAGTCCAAAAAGACTGGAGAGTTGTATATACAGACCTTAGAATGAGTTGGGACTGTTCCTTCAGACTTTCAAAATGAAAAATCTTAGTGTTTCACGGTGCTCAGTAGCTGTGTTCCACTTGAGATAACTGTATTTCATTACCCCATTAATAAGGTATTTCAAGATGAAAGGTGGACTTTGACTTCAAATTACAACCTTTATGTAAGTTGAAAATTTAAAACCTGTTAAGAGCACTTAGAGACTTTCCATAATATCACTTCCTCAGAAGGGAAATCATCTTCAGCTAAAAAATTATAGCTAATTTCCTTCGGTACAAAAATTCCCAAATTAATGACAAATTAATGACTGGGAAGCAGGAACCTATTAAATCAGCAGTGAGACCCTGAAACAAGCCTGATCAGTTGCGACTTCTCATCTGTTCTAAAACAAAGATCTCATTGCAGAACCAAATTCAAATCCAGTATAAAGGATCAATAGCAAATTTGCATTTTATTAACCCAAATAAATGCTGCACTTTATAGTTAGTAATATATTTTAACATCTTAATTTTATTTGTGGGCTTCCTTTCCCTTAAAGGTCCCTTGAGGAATCAAGGTCAAAAACCGACTGTGGTATGAAATCATAGGCAAAGTTCTCTGTTGCTGCCTGATAACCTCCTAGAATAGTGCACGATGCAACACAAAATGACAGGCTAGGCTGTGAGCTAAAGACTGTAGATTTCTGCAGCTGCTGAAAAAGCTTTTAGCTTTGCAGTCAGGACCAATTTTAGAAAGAAGCAAAGGAAATACTCAAAACCCCTGGTGCTGGCTGAGCAACCTTCCCCCTCAATGGCATCCTCTCCAGTTGATTCGGTGCACAGAGACCAAGCAAGATCCCTGACACCCATAGGGAGCAGCCAAATGCTGCTGCTCATGCACCCAGCCCTGCCCTGCGCCTCTGCAGCTGGAAGGAGAGGCTCTGGGGGCAGCAGACCATCCCAATAGCATGTACTGCATTAAAAGATGGATACACACTCCTCTTCCCATCCCTCTGGCCCGCAACAGGATTCTGTCTCACGGCTGGACAGGTGGATTCTAAGTAAAGGAGACAAGCGGGTAACAGAACTGGAGCTGTACAGTACTGGCTCTGCAGAGCTCACTTATCACAATACCCACGCTTTGTAGGAAGCGTGATGCTTAACAGAACTGCTCTGCTTCTGCTCCAAGTCCACACTTTGCCATTTCATTAATGAGGACAAAATACTTTATTCCTGGGGTGGCAAAAGATTATTTTCCCTATACTGCTCAGAAGCCTTGTGCCAGCACAGGACAAATTATATTAAGTCTGGTTTTATTTTTCTTTGCTTCTTTTTTAAAAATAATGCATAGAAGAGATCCGTCTCTTTGTTCCTGATCATATAAAGCTTGTTCCTTTCCTGAAATAACTAGGAGATTGGGATCAAAGCAAGGAGTCTCACAGAGACTTACCAGGCTAGGCACTAAATCTCATCAAGTTTTCTTCCCTCCTGTGAGCACCCCTCTCAGATCAGGGACGTATCTGGGCCTGAGGATGTAAAATTTCCAATTCAGTGCAGAACTGCAGGAAGCAAAAGAAGAGATTCACAGGCCATTCACCAGCAAAGGACCCACTAGGAGTTACTGCTGTGCCAGTTTCTCTTCCCTCCAACCAAAGCGTCCCCAGAGGGCTTTTTACATTCGTTTCCCCAGGCCTTGTGGACTGAGTTAATCTCTCTGTGCATGTTAAATGGTTAAACAAAAATTTGCATTTTTTTTTTTTCCCCGGCTGCATTATTAGTTCAGCAAGGATTAATTGACGTTGCTTTCTTTGGGATGGAAGAATAAAGGGGCCTTCTGAAGAATGGGATGGAAGATTAAAGGGGCCTTCTGAAGAATGCAGAGGAGTGTTTTTTTTCTGTGATATGCTACATTTGAAAAATGCACTGTCTCGGCTTTCCAGAGTAGCCTTTGACTTTGTAGTGTTAGTATTAATTTTGCCCCACACATTTTCACAGTGCATTGGCCTTTAATCACCATTTATATGTAATTTGATCAACTGGTTTTGCTGCCTTATCAATTTCACTTTTAAATTCAACTTTTATTTATCGAAAGATTTTATGTATTAAGTATATGGAAGACTGACACTTTTTTATATGTGAAATGTAATGTAAACCAATGTTCAACTCAAAGGAAAAGCAAAAAAAAATGCAGCAAATATACAAGTCAAATAGTAAAAT